GATATTTTATTTTTACGAGATGAAAGAAAGTCGGTCTCATCTTTCAGGTGTGCACAGTTCGACTCAGCTGAACAACCAGGTGGGAAGAGATGTTGGAAAGAAGACATTTCCTCCCCTTCGCCAAGGTAAAGCCTGGCAAAGCATATAGTGGAAAAAAAAAAGAAGAAAATTATCATGTCTTCCACAGACACAGAGGAGGAGCTGGGATGTGGTGCCGAGCAGAAGGAGGAGTGTGAATCCTTAGCCAGTGAGTCCAATTAAAACGGATCAGGTCAGAGAGGTGATTACTGAGAATCCTGAAGCGGAGAACAAAGTCACACAGATTTTCTGAAATAACCTCTGACTCAAACTTGGTTGTCAATCTGGGAAGTAAACAGAAATCGTTCATTTACAAGTTGATGTGAGTGTCTGAACATTCCGAAATCTACAGAGAATTTCAAGTATTCAGTATGATTCAGAACTTTAAATGACTCCTAATTTCTTTGTGCTTTGCTCCCAAGGAACCCAACCTTTCTTGTGACATTTTAAAGTGGCTTAGATAAGTGCTTCTGCAGGCACTTTCAGAGATTTTTGTAGAGGATTTGCTGCTTTTTCTCTCGATTTCACTCTAGAGTGTGCAGCAAGTGGTTAAGAACAGGGCAAAACTAGAAGATGGTGAACAAAAGAAGATGAGTCAGGCCTAAAAATATATCTACAGCAGATAAATATCATTTGAAAATCATGGGGTCTTTTTTTTTAACACTGTCTTTGTGACAAGGTGGCAAAAACAATGTGTCTAAGGATCTCTGTTGAACTTCTCTGTTATTTAAAATAAGATGAAATATTTTATACTTGCAAGATTCTAGGATCTAAGGTGGCCTCATAAATAAATAAATAAATACATAAAAATGTTTCTTATTAAAATAGGCTAATTTATATCTGAAAATGGCAAAACTTTCCAAAGAAAAGCATGTTTTGCCTTGAGTAAACTCTTTAAGGGGTTAAAATAAAATTTAAAAAAAGTTGGCTTCTTGAATGCAAAATTTAGAGAAGAATGTTGTGCATAAATAATAATAATAATAATAATAATAAAAGTACACCCAGCATTCAAATCAGATTTTAATTAAAGTTTCCGGCCGGTTGCCTACATAACCACTTAGACACAAACACATTCAGCATGCTAAACCACCACACTCTTTGATCCCCATACATAATAATTAGGCTGATCTGTGCAAAGCTTTTTGGTGAACCTGCAAAATGTATATTCGCTTTCAGAGCTTAAAAAAAATTAACATGACCTCTTTTAACATAGTTCCGCCCTTTATCTCCACTCTCCCTTAATTTATTTGCTCCAGTAAGATCAGACATTCAGCCAGTTTCCACCAAACATGTTCCCTGAGAACAGCCTCCATGTATGACATGCGGGAGATTTAGCCGTAATGAGGAGCGTCGTGCTTTGAAGATTCTTCGGACTTACTGGCAAACAGTGACTACTTCTTGCGCCGAACATAATTAACTCGATCTGGGGCCTTTTGAAGGCCATTATTGTGTAAATGTGTCACCGGCTTGAAGCAGATCAACAGTACTTTAATTTGCAACTGCCTCGTTCGCTGGTATTAACAGCGCTTTTCATAAAGCATTGAAAATGATCATATTAGTCAGTAAATTAACTGCCAGACCAGACACTGACCCCTGAAGCTGATGGAGGCTAATAGCTCCCATTGATCGAAAGGGGTTATGAATGTGTTCAGCTATATGGAGAGCATTCGGGATGGAAATGAAAAGGCCTTTGTTTGTCCCTCAATGGGGAAATAAGAGTGTCAGCAAAGTGACAAGGAAAATGAAAGCCGACAGGTACACATAAAATCAGCAATAATAGTAAAGAGAGCATAAGAACTGTACAGTAATGTTGATATGAGAGATGAGAAAAAATATGCAATTATGGAGGACGAGCAAATGCAGATTCTACTAAATGCATAAGTGTAAAGTAAAGTTCCACACTAAGCATAACATTGTGAGCCTATTTTTTGTTGTTGTTTAAAAATCATTAAATTAGTGCATTGTATAATCTTGGGATAAATCATCAAAACACCTAGATTAATATACTGATGATTGTATATAAACTTTCGACTCAAAGACTCCAGTCGCCATCAAACTTCGATAAGATGCACTGAAAAGAAGATTTATAGCCAAACCAAAAGCTGAATTTATTAGTTTACACACACACACACACACACACACACACACAAAGAAAACAGGAAACCATCAGCTCACATGGTTCTGAAATAATAATATTCTGTCTGTTGGCAGAAGAACATGAAAGGACAAACACGGACTGTGTGTGTGTTTGGAAAACCCCCCCTCTTCAATTAGTCATGCAGCATTTGAAATCAATCTGGCTGATAACTTGTCATGTCCCCTGAAATTACTGAGTGAGCCATCAAATCCTTCAGTCCCACTTTCAACAGCTGAAGCCGTGATATTAGCCTGCAGACGACGTGTGCAGCGCTGTGCCAATGGCTGCACTGGCAACGCAGTCAGACACTTTCAGTGAGAATCCCTGCCACTGTGCCAGGGGGAAACAACAACACCTACTTGTGAAAATCCCCTCAAAGCCACCACATTATCTCCATAGAACAGCTCTTGACTGCTTAATCAGGAAATGTTCTTTAAAAAAAAATAAATAAATAAAAAAATTACAGCCAGAACAACATGATAGGTCGTTTCTCATACGCTTTAATCCGCTGCACAGGATGGATTCGGTTAGCTTCTGCAGACAGTTCAATAAGCCGGAGCATTTGAATAGTTAGTCACCATGCACATGCTCACTGTAATCATTATCCTAGTGTGAGTGCTGCAATGATTTAATATGTAAAAAAAGAGTGAAAAGAGAACTCAAGAGTCCTCTGAGTTACAGTTGACAAAAACAGAAAGAATAAAGAATATTCCCAACACAACTTAAAAAAAAGTCCTGAAACATTAGATTGTTATATAGGAAAATGCCAAAAATAAATGTATAAGTCAAAAATAAAGAAAACTTCGTGGAGTAAACAGTTTTCTACATTGTTTTTATCCTTTATGCAAGCCGTTACACTGACTCAAATTATTCATTTCTATCTGACGTCCTGCTCACTTGCTTTTCGATTGTCAATTTCATTCTAACAAAAAAAAAAAAAAAAACAAAGTTAGAAAAAAATTCATTTTTGGGTGCAAGCATCTTTGAGCAATATTATTATTATGATATCGTGCTCCTGTGTGTGTTTGCATTATTCAGTGTCTGCATCTGTTCCTGTCACTGCTCTTCGATAAATATCATCAATCATCAAAAGAAGTGACGTCACATATTAGAGTCGTGTGCTGTGGGTCATTGAAAAGCCTTTATTATTGAAGAGAAAAATCAGGACTGCATGACGGGAAATGCTTCTCTCTTGTTGGGTTAAAAAAAAAATCCAATTTATTTCAGATTTTTCTTATTCGAGGAGGTGTGTATGACTTAGGCCAATATAATGAGTGTGTCTGTTAGATTGATGTGTCTGCTTAATGTTAGAACATGGCTGCTGCTTCGTTTTGTCTTTCCAAGCTTTCCTTTTCAGTTTCCTAAGAGACTGGGTGAGTCATGGTTACAGCTTAGTGGAGATTTGGAGAGGGATGGATCAAATGAGGAGGAGGTAAAAACAGTAATCTCAAATCTGTCTAACACCCACTCTGATCCACTCTCTCACGCCCCCTTCCCTGTTGTCACTCCGGCTTCCTGGTGATTCAAGGAGGGGAGCTCTGCCTGGATTTTCTCCGCGCCGTGTCTTCAGAAAGCATGGAGCAACAGACTGCTGGAAAACTTTAAATTAGAGACAACATTTGGGCAAGAACGTTTGCTATAAATAACAACAGCCTCACCGAAATGCCAAAATGAATCACGCAACCGGAGGATGGACAGAAAAAGATGTCCTTAAAGGTTTCCTTAAATGTTCTCATGGGATTGAAACCCGTGGGAACATTAGCCATTCTGTAATTTCTTCAGCTGTTCTGCGCAGAAAACAAGAGGCAAGCCTGTGGTTTACCTGTTTTATGCTATTTTAGGTATTTGAGATTCAATACACACATTAATTTTACTTGCTGCTAATGCTACATAAAGACATTAGATCTCTCTCTCTCTCTCTCACTCACTCTAAACGTACTGATACTGTTAAACACCATGGCATAGAAGATCACATTTTGCTATTTAGCATTTAGCATTGCTTTTTGAAAAAAAGCAACCGTTTGTTGTTTGTTTGTTTTTTTTCTTTCAATGTTAAGAAATGTTACTTGAAGCATTTCTCTCTCAGTAAAAAGTGGATTCAAGTCGGAAATGCTTTCCTGTGCAAACGAGGGTTTAAACTCCGCAGTAGTTCTGCATTCCCTTTGAGTGTCTCCTACATTCTTGGCATGGAAATGAATTTGTGCGCGTGGTTCGAGTCCAAATGTGTGCACACCTGTCTGTCTGCTGCCGGCCCTCCACATGGGCACTGCAGTTTATCTGCCGTATGCTGGCGGCTCTTTGGAACAGAGGTGCTGTTATCCATTCATCAGCGGAGCAGCATCAGTGACTGCCAGTTTCCCTGATCTATAGTCTAATTTACACCTCCAGCACTAGCCCTCCTCCCCCTAAGACCCTTGTTGACACAAAGCAGGGCTCGCAACTATAAATCTACGAGTGCTGCGCAGTCACCGAGTCCCATTCGTCAGTATGCTTTTGCTTTGAAAGTTTTGAATCGACGTAGTAAGCCACTGAAACCCAGACGGATAAACGGCGTTTGTTACCTGTGACTCAATAACCTATCTGACAACCTGGAAGTTTTAGCTTTTAGCATAAACTTTTATCCAAAAGTTTAAATCAATGAGCAGAAGTGGCAGACGGAGAGAAAACAAAGACGAAGGACTTTCACAAACGGCTACTACAATAAGGAGCAACACCACAAGTCTTCTGTTTCTTCTCCTTACACTTTCATTATCTCCCTTTCTCATTTCCTACATTGCTTTTCTAGTGGCAGCTGTGGGCCTCGGGGTATCGATTGTATGCTGAGGACTAATGGCCATGACAAAGGCAGTGTGGGGAGGCGTGCAAGAAGAGGAGGAGAAATTATCAGGGAAAGTGACTGAAGGGAACGGGGTGAACAATGAAGAACCCAAGAGACGACGTCGCAGAATTCTTTGTAGCACATTTCATGTTACCAACACGCGTGTTACATCGATATTGTTGCTTTTAGATAACGTTCAAACTTTTTCTGCCTGTCGGATTTTCAAATGTAAAGATAAATAAATAAACACAACAATGTCGGCCCCGCTGAAAGAATTTGTTGTGTTAGCAGGTCTTGCACTGGAAAGTAAATCTTATCTGCTTGTGCAAAAAAAAAAATTAAGAAACTCATTTCAGCTTTAGAAAAACTCCAGGATTCACAAAAAAGCAGAACTGGGTGGAAACAAGGCAATTTGCCAATATAATGTGGAACAATAAAGTGCTTAAACCTTCTCTGAGATTCCTCTTCTTATTGCTTTTTGCTTTTTTTTTTTTTTTTTTTGGTAAGAAGAACAATGTTAAATTTGATGCTGGATTCAATAGAAAGAAGCACAAATTATGTAGAACTGTGACCAAATCTGGTGAATATTATTATATTATCCAGATGGAATTTGTTTCTAAACAGCTTCGTTATAAAACACTGAATATTAACTTGCCGCAAAAATAAAAGTTACCTTCATTTTCAACGTCAGCATCCTGAATATCTGTAATGAAAACAAATA